ATCATCTCAATAGACGCACAAAAAGCTTTGATAAGATCCAACATCATTTCATGATAAAAGCTCTAAGAAAACTAGGAATAGAAGGAAAGTCCTCAACATTATAAAAGCTATATATGACAAACCTACAGCCAGCATTATACTTAATGGAGAAAAACTGAAACCATTCCCTCTAAAATCAGGAACCAGACAAGGATGCCCACTATCTCCACTCCTATTCAACATAGTACTGGAATTCCTAGCCAGAGCAATTAGGCAAGAAGAAGGAATAAAAGGAATACAAATAGGTAAAGAAACTGTCAAAATATCCCTATTTGCTGACGACATGATCCTATACCTTAAAGACCCAAAAAACTCTACTCAGAAGCTTCTAGACATCATCAATAGCTATAGCAAGGTAGCAGGATATAAAATCAACATAGAAAAATCATTAGCATTTCTATACACTAACAATGAGCAAACTGAAAAGAATGTATGAAAACAATTCCATTTACAATAGCCTCAAAAAAATCAAATACCTAGGTGTAAACCTAACAAAAGATGTGAAAGACCTCTACAAGGAAAACTATACACTTCTGAAGAAAGAGATTGAGGAAGACTATAGAAAGTGGAGAGATCTCCCATGCTCATGGATTGGTAGAATCAACATAGTAAAAATGTCTATACTCCCAAAGTAATCTACATGTTTAATGCAATTCCCATCAAAATTCCAATGACATTCATTAAAGAGATTGAAAAATCTACTGTTAAATTTATATGGAAACACAAGAGGCCACGAATAGCCAAGGCAATACTCAGTCAAAAGAACAATGCAGGAGGTATCACAATACCTGACTTCAAACTATATTACAAAGCAATAACAATAAAAACAGCATGGTACTGGCACAAAAACAGACATGAAGACCAGTGGAACAGAATAGAGGACCCAGATATGAAGCCACACAACTATAAGCAACTTATCTTTGACAAAGGAGCTAAAAATATACGATGGAGAAATAGCAGCCTCTTCAACAAAAACTGCTGGGAAAACTGGTTAGCAGTCTGCAAAAAACTGAAACTAGATCCATGTATATCACCCTATACCAAGATTAACTCAAAATGGATCAAGGATCTTAATATCAGACCCAAACTTAAGTTGATACAGGAAAGAGTAGGAAATACTCTGGAGTTAGTAGGTATAGGTAAGAACTTTCTCAATGAAACCCCAGCAGCACAGCAACTAAGAGATAGCATAGATAAATGGGACCTCATAAAACTAAAAAGCTTCTGTTCATCAAAAGAAATGGTCTCTAAACTGAAGAGAACACCCACAGAGTGGGAGAAAATATTTGCCAACTATACATCAGACAAAGGACTGATAACCAGAATATATAGGGAACTTAAAAAACTAAATTCTCCCAAAACTAATGAACCAATAAAGAAATGGGCAAGTGAACTAAACAGAACTTTCTCAAAAGAAGAAATTCAAATGGCCAAAAACACATGAAAAAATGCTCACCATCTCTAGCAATAAAGGAAATGCAAATTAAAACCACACTAAGATTCCACCTCACCCCTGTTAGAATAGCCATCATCAGCAACACCACCAACAACAGGTGTTGGCGAGGATGCGGGGAAAAAGGAACCCTCTTACACTGTTGGTGGGAATGTAGACTAGTACAACCACTCTGGAAAAAAATTTGGAGGCTACTTAAAAAGCTGGACATCGATCTACCATTTGATCCAGCAATACCACTCTTGGGGATATACCCAAAAGACTGTTACTCCAGAGGCACCTGCACATCCATGTTTATTGCGGCACTATTCACAATAGCCAAGTTATGGAAACAGCCAAGATGCCCCACACTGACGAATGGATTAAGAAAATGTGGTATCTATACACAATGGAATTTTATGCAGCCATGAAGAAGAACGAAATGTTATCATTCGCTGGTAAATGGATGGAATTGGAGAACATCATTCTGAGTGAGGTTAGCCTGGCCCAAAAGACCAAAAATCGTATGTTCTCCCTCATATGTGGACATTAGATCAAGGGCAAACACAACAAGGGGATTGGACTATGAGCACATGATAAAAGCGAGAGCACACAAGGGAGGGGTGAGGATAGGTAAGACACCTAAAAAACTAGCTAGCATTTGTTGCCCTTAACGCAGAGAAACTAAAGCAGATACCTTAAAAGCAACTGAGGCCAATAGGAAAAGGGGACCAGGAACTAGAGAAAAGGTTAGATCAAAAAGAATTAACCTAGAAGGTAACACCCACGCACAGGAAATCAATGTGAGTCAATGCCCTGTATAGCTATCCTTATCTCAACCAGCAAAAACCCTTGTTCCTTCCTATTATTGCTTATACTCTCTCTACAACAAAATTAGAAATAAGGGCAAAATAGTTTCTGCTGGGTATTGAGGGGGGGGGAGAGAAGGAGGGGGTGGAGTGGGTGGTAAGGGAGGGGGTGGGGGCAGGGGGGAGAAATGAACCAAGCCTTGTATGCACATATGAATAATAAAAGAAAAATGAAAAAAAAAAAAGAACTGTTTCAGATTAAAGGAAACTAGATACATGACAACTACGTGTATTATCCCAGCTTGGATCCCAGGCTGGATTTTTTTTTTCCTACAAAGGACATTTCTGGGCTGTGGCTCAAATGGTAGAATGCCTGCCTAGCAAGTATGAGACCATGAGTTTGAACCCCAGTACCTCCCACCCCCAGACATTACTTAAACAATCAATGAAATGTAACAGCATAATAATGTTAAATTCTGAGTTTGACAATTATTCTGTAGTTACAAAAAAAATTTGTTTCAGAACTATAGGAAATACAAATTTAAGTATTTAAGGTAAAGGAGACATCATATCTGTGATCTGTATTGGAGGATACTTTTTGACCTCAAAGACATCATTTATATTTTGTATTATCCTCGTACCTTTCTAGATATGCACAAATAACAATGTATCCTAGAAGAAAGCATTTAGTCTAAACTGATGATAAAGGGAAACCTCTTCCTTACAGAATGGTAAATAATAAATACAGAAAGAATAATGGAATAAAAAATAACAATTTTGCAAACATTCTACTAAAAGCTATTCAGATAAGAATCATCAAAAGATGCTAAATCCAGAAGGAAGGGTGTGATGAGGGTTGGAATTAGCAACATAGCCTCAAAGTTCCTCTTCACAAGCTAATTGCAAAAGGAAAAACAGTAACTATGCAGTGGATAACTGGACATCTTACCCAAGTGATAAAAATTAATATCATCAAAAACAGGCAAAGGGACATTCTGTATTTGGATGTGACACTCAGGGGATACAACACTTAACAGCATTCCCATCCACACTGCATGAACAGACTCTAACCATGAGGAAACATCAGAAAAACCCTAGCTGAGGTATGTGCTGTTCTTCAGCTCTGCCCTGTTTTTTAAATACATCAATATTACAAAAGACAGAGAAAGGCAGAAGGATTGGTCCAGATTAATCATAATACAATATAAGATCCTGAACCGGACCCTGTAGCTGAGAAGAAATTACCAGTGGAACAAATGAAATTGGAATAGACTGTATATTAGATGAAAGAATAGTGTAAATGTTAAATTCCTGGCTTTGATAACTACACTTAGGTAAAAGAATATGCATGTTCTCATAAAGTACATACCTAGTATTAAAGATAAAGCAAATGATGTCTGCAAATGGGTTCAGGAAAGATATTTTAAGAAATAGAAAATGATAAAGCAAATAAGGAGAATATTAAAAAAGTCAACGTGCATAATTTTTTTCTACTTAAAAATTCCCCAAACCAACATATGTACACATGCATGCAAGTGTGTATTTCTAGTAGACTAAAAGTTTTTGTTCTCTCCACTTTTCCCCAGATAAGGGAACTAGGGGCTAAAAGATTTTGAGAGGTTAGTAACAAGATCTCCCAGAGAAAACAGTCCCAGAGTTTTCCATTTGCATATACATATACAAACTTCTGTATACATATATAATTCTATCATCTTGATGGTGACATACATATTTTAATGAATATATAAAATATATAAACTGGCATGTTTCTGGTACTTTTAAATGCAACTGGAGACTCAAAAACAGCTTTTTTTCATCACTTTTATGCTTACTTTGACAAAAGTTATGTTTTGCTTCAATTTTGTTATGGCTTCTGTTATTATGCCTTCCTTTTAAAAAAATATTTTATGTTCATGCTGTTTTGGGACTTTCCTTCTCATGTAGTAGCTACTTCTGCTCAATTTATAACAGCCACATTATTACTACTTCAGTAACACGAAGATTAGTTAATGCTTACACTCTGTTCTGAGGTATAATAGTGACAAAAATTTCTACAGGAGAACCTGAGTATGGTCAATGGATCCACTCATAAAAGGAGGCTACTCAAGGTGTGAATATAAAAGGTGAGTGCAAGTGTAGCTCACAGAATGATCCCTGAGAAATATCCTTTTCTCAAAGTCAACCAAACCAATGGATCTGGGACACTCTCTGACCAGGTGCTATTATGAGTTCCTTGTGACATAATTTTAATTAAAAATCTCAAATTGATTAAAACATGGGAGGACATTTTTTTGCCCTCAGAAATATTATTTATATTTTACATTATTCTTTTAATCTTTCTGAATAAGCATAAACAACGTATCCTAGAAAAACACTATTTGAAAAACCTTATAGACAAAATGAACAATTAAAACTTTAAACACTTTTCACAGCAATATTAAGAGAATAAAATACAGTATCTATTATCACTTTGTCTATAGTAGCTTACATATTGTATAGTAGTGATACATATTTATACATATTGCAGTTGAAAATAGGGAATACTTTTTTGTTCTTCTGTAATAGGCTGCAGGTTTAAAAGCAGAAGTCCTGAACCTCTAAGACAGTGTAAGAAAAATCTTTATTTGAAACTCTAGCAGTCTATGTTATTAAAAAAAAAAAAGAGAGAGAGAGTCAAGATGTTCTTTGTTCTATTTATTTCTGGGGGTGGGGTAGGGTAGGGTGGGAAGGGGTGGAGTGGAAAAAATTTTAAAAAGTTCATTTTCTTGCTTCAAAGTAGGGATTAACTTTCATTACACATGAACATGGATGAACACTGTCATGAACACTCTGTTCTGGCTTTCATGACAATTTGAACTCAAGGTAAGATGTATAATATGTTTTCTGAAATCTAGTATATTTATTTGGACAAATCAATGTTTCTCATGTTCTTGTGCTCATATGAAAGAACTGGCATTTTGGTTTTAAGAACAAACTAAAAATAATCAGGAATTCAACTTGTCTTTAATTTGGGTCTGAACTAAGTACTAAGGAACTATTCAGCAATAAAGGCCTCAAATATTTAAATATTTAATGAAACTGCAATTAATTAAGCCCCTGTTGATTCTAAAAATTATGATACCAGAAAGAGAATGAGGGAAGAATTCTAAGTCTGGAGTCTAAGTTCAGAGTAAGATATCAATAATCGTCTCACTTTTGCAATATCCATAAGTAAACTAGATGATATAAGAATTATATGAATTATGTTAAATAAAAAGTGCATACAGAACTCACAAATATTTTTTCATTAAATTTGCCACTTACACTAGTTCAATAAAATGTTCAGAAGGAAAATAATCACTTAAACAAAAGACTATTTACACTGTTGCTGTCAGAACTTCTTGAGAAGAAAACAATGACTACTTAGCAACTTCCCTGGTTTAACTTAATCATTTGACTTGAAACAGTTACATTGTAAACTGACTATCTATGTCATGTTTTGAGAATTCAAAGCAGAAAGTAAAACCATAAAAAGCCAGAAACTTCAATAAGTCTAGACAGACGTTTGCTTGTAGTTTTTGGTATCCAAAACCTTTTTGCCACACATCGCACAGATGCCTGAAACAAAATAAAACAAAACAAAAAAAAAAGTGAGAAATCAAGTTATAATACTGTTTGGTTTATCTATCTCAATCCTGAAGCTTAAGACATTACTTAACAGCATCATAAAAGAAAAAAAAATTCACTATGAAAATACTTTAAGTTCTATTTTGCCTTGGGGAAAGAAAGTATCTGACTAGTAGAATTTATAAAAGACTATTCCTTTTCTGTTATTCAAATCAGTAGCAAATGAAGTAGGTTTGTTATAAATAGAAAAATGAAATTAAAAGAAACTTACCCTTTTTGTAGGCACAGCCCTGGCAATAATGAGAACCTGGTTGGTGTACAGAACTTTTACAAATTCTGCAAGTGGAGAACTTATTCTTTCCATATGGATCGAATCTAGATTTTTTTTTGAAAGAAAGAAAAAAAAATGTACACTACAGTAGAAACACTCTTAACCCTAAGTAAACAACATTCAGGATTAATTCATGCTCATCATTCCTTCTATCAAATTCTACAACCCTCAGGCAGCCCAGCCCCCTTCTGGGTGGCCTACTATCTAATATGCCTGCACTTCTCTGCTCCTTCCATGTAAGCTCCACAATTGTGAAAAGTCAGTTGAATTCATTCCCAAACCTATTCCTGTCACTTGTATTTGTCATTGTTTGTTTGATATAAATATTAGGAAAATTGATGAAATATGAGTACAAAGGAATGAATGGTTCCTTGAAAACTAAGTGACTGCTTTAGGATGACTAGGTAAGTGTAATCCTTAAGACTGTAATGACTTAAGACAGGCTAGTATAGAGGAAGAAGAAACCCCTCCTTATCCCGGCCCAAGGAAGCAATGGGATGTACAAAGAGAACTGAAAATGAGGCTTTAAGGCCTCTGAGAGTAAAACACTTAACAGCTTCCATTAGGATCAAAATAACCTACAAAGGTCACAGAAAGTCATAAGGTATTTTCTAGTTATCTACTCTAGGATGTATCAACATCAACATCCTGAAACAACAGGTACCAAAAAAAAAAAAAAAAAAACCACAGAAAGAAAAACCATATTCTGGGTGTAGGGTGGACCCAATGATACTCTGTACACCCATCCTAGCCCATCTTACAAAGACCCCCCCAGATCTAACCCCCATTCCCACTGGGCCTTTGCAGTATGTAAATTGCCCCTCTAACAAAGCTCAAGGCTTTCTGGCTTCTGAGTCATCTGGCCAGAATGACCAGAATGACCATTGCTTTTCTCTAGCAATGCTTTCTTTAAAACTCATGTTCTCTCTGCTTTCAAAAAAACCTTTGTTCTGCTTTCTGTTCAATGTTTTGCTGGGACATGAGCCTAAGAATCTTCTGACCAGAGTCTTCAGAGACCACCTACCAGTAACACACTTAGGTGTGTGCGAGGCAACTGTTTAAAATGGGGGAAAATCACAAGTGGAAGCACTTTGCAAGCATTAGTTTTTTTCCCTGCTCTAAAGATGATGAAAATGTATATTCTGGTTATGATTTATTTGAGGAAAAGCATCCTAACTCTTGTCAGCGACTCATACTTAAAAGGCTTTGTCTCAATACCAAATAAGGGACAAATGCATCTACAGATTTTAAAATAAGGTATGTGTATCTTTTAATGATGTCCTACTTTAATTATCTGGCCCAATCCCTCTGGATAAACAAGCCTCTACTATATAAAAATGTCATCCTACAGTGACTAGAGTATAAAATAACTTAAATATTTCCCCCTAAATGGGCAGTAGCACACTGATTTAAACTTTCCCTACCTACAAAATGATTTTATATGTTTATTCTCACAAAGTGTCCTAGACCTGGTATCTTCTCTTGGGGTATACCACAACAGCTCAGTTTCTATTTTACCTTACTTTTTTTTTTTTGAGACAGGGTCTCACTATACTATCCAGGTTGTTCTAAAACTCACAATCTCCCTGCCACAGCCTCTAGAGTGCTGGGCTGGGATTACAGGTGTGTGTCACCATGCCTGGCTAACAGCTTTCACTTCCAAAGGTTAACTTTTCAAACCCAAGAGAATATCACTTTATTCCCCACAAGAGAAAACTACACTTTCTTCTTTTCAATAAGCTCAATTTGTTTGGACCTATGTATCTGGAAAGTACTTTTTCTTAAAACCCTATTTTTATTATTATAAGATGACATTCTAACCTCTGAAATTTTCCTATTAATTGGCAGGTGTTTTTTGGTGGCAGTGGGGTTTCAATTTGTTTGAATTTGGCATCATGTTTGCTAGGCAGCTGCTCTACCACTTGAGTCACTCTGCAAGACCTTTTTCTGTACTGCATATTTTCGAGATTGGGTCTCGATCCCCCTGATCTTCACCTCCCAGGTAGCTAGGATTACAGGCGTGAGCCATAAGTGTCTGGCTGGCACAGACTTTTCTTTAAGTAATGATGTATATTATAAATATGGTATTGAAGATTTAATGTAATATAGTAGTATACTTTCTAAAGTGAGATATTTAGAGTACCCAAAAGTAATAACTATTTTAATGATATCAGAATAAGTTTGAGAGCAGAAACTGAAAGTATATAAAACTGTACAATCTGTAAAAATAACAACTTAGTAAAAACTGAATGATCTTAGATCAATACGTCAGTCAACAATATAGTGTTATGTTGTATTGAAGATTAGGTAAATCTGCTATATGCTATTTTGTATCAGTTATTTAATACACAGCTACTATGTGCTAGATACTATATAGTAAAAATTTTACTGTTATTATTTCGAATCCTTGGAATGATTTCATTAAACAAGTGTTAGTTTATTTAGCAAATACCTATTGAGTTCCTACTATGTATCAGTTACTGTTCTAAATACTAAAGATGAACATTAAAAATTCCCAGTCCTCACCAAACTCAAATGATAATGGGAACAGATTAAATAATAAGGGAAAAGACAATCCAAGAAAACTAGCAAGTTTTTCAGATAGCTAGTAAGTGTTATAGAGAAAAATTCAAACAATACTGTGGTGGGGATGAGAGAAAAGATTAGTTTAAATGCCTGCTCTTTGAGGAAGTGACATTTCAGCCTAAACTCAACAAAGAAGACATCAGATATATACGCTCTGAGGGAGGATCCCAGAAGGGAGTGGCAAGCATAGACTTTAGGTGGGAGTGGGCTTGGCATAGCTAATGAGGATGTTACATGAATACGAGAAGGAGTATGGTACAACAGGAAGTTAGAAGAGAAGGGAGATAATATATCATGGAGTACCCTGTCCTGTAAAGAACATGGTAGGGGGCTTAGGTTATACTCCATGTAAAAAAGAAAACTATTGGTGGATTCAAAGCAAAAGAATTACATGATCTTTCCAAATTACCATTCTGGTTACTATGAGACAATTATAGGAAATGAGAGAAAAAGCAAGGAGCTAGCTAGAAAATTTTTCAGTATACAAGTAAGAATTAATAGTGGTTTGGAACAGGGTAATAGAAGTGAAATGAACAAAAGCAGGTGGATCCAAGTTATATATTGGAGGTAGATCCAAAGAATTTACTGATAGATATGGTAGCAGAAGGGGAAGACTCAGAAGCTTTTAGGCTTGAACAACTGGATTAAACAATAGCGTTACTATGATGGGAAGACTGAAGAAAAAGAGGTTGCCTGTTAGACATCAGATTAGGTTAGTAAGGTAAGCAGCTAGATATAATTTGAGAATTGTTAACACATAGTTTGAATTTAAAGCCAATGTAACAGTTCCTTTAGCAAAGTATAAAAATGTATAAATACAAAAAACAAAGTCTAGGATTAAGTCCTAAGTCACTCAGTTGAGAAGGGAGTTGGGAGGAAAACCAGGAGAGTGGGTGTCCCAGAAGCCAGGAGAATAAAGGGTTGCCGAAAAGAGTTGTTAAGAGGTGAAGTGAGGTAAGACTAGAGAAGTGGCCATTACTTTTAAAGGTTTATTGTGACCCTGATGAGAGCAGTTTCAAGGTGTTGGTGGTGATGAAGGCATGATCAGAATAGCTGAAACAGAGAATGTAACTTAAGGACACTGAGAAAATATCCAGATCATATTTTGAAAACTCTGGCTATGAAAACAAGCAAGGAAATGGGATGGCAGCTAGAAAGGTTCATGGAATTTTTAAAGAATGGATGTAATAAAGCATGATGTCAAAATACTGTTCTTAAGATGGGAGACTTTTTTATGGCCATTCTCTTATTAAAAAGGAGCTTAGAAAGGTTAAGAAACAGGTAACTTGCATGGCATTACAGGGCTAGACAGTGACAGAATCTAGATTTATACTTAAGGACTGACTCTAAAGCTTCAATTTCTCTATGTTTCTCTGTTGCCTCTGATTTGTAAGTTAATTAAGAAATAGTAAAAGTCATATTTTCCAGTAAAATTACATAAAGGAAATGGCACTAATATCTTCATAATATTGATACAGTTAAGAGGAATGGGTGAAACCAGCAGGTTATAACATAGCTTGCCTTTGTGTGCCAGGAGCTACCTAACTCTATGTTTTATAATCACAAGGGGATGAGGTATAACAAATTCACTCCAGTAGGCTTAATATTAAAGAGTGGAATTTATAACCACTCTATGGATGCTCTTACCCACCTTGCTTTTTTTGAAGTCAAAGCTTTATTTTCATTCAGCTTTCTTCCACCACTTTCTACATCAAAATATATATACATGTTAGTGACTTATTTCTATGCATTTGACACAGTATCTAATAGTTAGCAATTAGTTAAAAAGTTCATTTTTTTTTTTTTACCTCCTGGCAATTGAATACCCTGAGTCTAAATTTTTTAAATCCTTATTTAATGCTCAAACTCTTATGACTTGGAAACAATTATTTATTAGGGAAACAGTAAAAATTTGTAAAAAAAAAAATACAATCACTTAATTTCTCAGACTCAAAGCAGTTCTTTAGGGATGGGCCCACATTTTCTTTTCTACTGTAAGATCTAGAAGCCTCAACTTTGGTGTCATAGATCTTGAGTACAGTGACAGTATTTCTTTTCCTTCTCCTTTTTTTGGTGGTACTGGAGTTTGAACTCAGGACCTCACACATTCTAGGCAGGTACTCTACCACTTGAGCCACACTCTCAGCCCTTTCTAGCTTTAGTTATTTTTCAGATAGAGTCTTGCATCTTTGCTGGGGCTGGACTGTGATCCTATTTACTTCTCCCAGATAGCTAGGATGACAGGTGCGTGTATGCCACCACACCCAGCTTATTGATCGAGATGGGATCTCATCAATTTTTTGTTCAGGTTGGCCTCCAACCACAATCCTCCAGATCTCTGCCTCTCAAGTAGCTAGGATTATAGGTGGAGGTGACTGCACATGGCTTTTTATTTTTGGAGACAGAGTATCACTATATACTTCAGACTGGCCTTGAACTTGCAATCTTCCTGCCTCAGTCTTCTGTATGCTTTGATTATGGGCATGTCCAACCATGCCTGGCTTTTTCCTTCCTTTGGAAAATATACTTTGCTGTATGTATGTAATGATAATGAAAGTGAAAATGGTTTAAATTTGTTCAAGAACGTAAAACTCAGGTGAAGAGAAGGAAATTAAATACAGACATTACTAAGCTCGATCATATCAAGCACTGAGGTGTAGTCATCACTTGAAAAATCATTTAATAATTCTGCTATCTCCTAACTTTATACTAAGAGCCCATACATGTAACTCAGCACAAAGTAGAAGATCCTAAATCACTGGGGAACCTGATATTTTTTAGTGTTTAATAGAGATGAAGTACACTGAATGTGTAACAACATTGCATTTTACAAATAATATATAAGCTAAAATAGTATTCATAAAAAGCATTTGATTAATTTCTACTTTCTAAAAGAAAAAAATACCTGTGGTATTTCTTGCACCATCCTTCCAAGTGTCTGGGGTGATAACAGTTCCAAGTTTCTTTTCACCTATTATAACAAGATAGTAAAAAGGGGAGAATTTAGCATCTAATGAATATGCTACATCATGCCTATGGTTCACAATGGCATCAACAGTCATATTACAATAGGTGTCTGCTAATGCTGGGGTAGAAGTCAGTGAACTGAGACTCAAGATGCTAACTGTGGGCAAGGATAGCTGACCTCAGTAAATTTCACAGGATATAAAGATGGCTTACGATAGATTTTCATCATTTGTTCATACTTTAAATAAGCCTCTCTCCATTCCATAAATATGCACTAATCATTTAGGATGTATAAACCACTACATAAAGTGCTAACAAAAATAAAACTATGAATTAGAGCACTAGAAATTCATTGGTATGAATGTGTTACTTGGAGTCAAACACTTCCAAAAGAGTCAAATGGAGTCAGAGAAAGACCAAAAGAGAAGATTTTGAACTTAGTGATTGGGAGGTTACTGGTGAACTTTCGAAAGTTCTTTCACTAGTGTGGAAAGTCAGTTTGTAAAGGCTAATAAGTAACTATGAAAATCTGCATACAACCAATACAATGAAGTCTTTTAAACAATTTATGGTGCAGGGAAAGAGCACTAAGGTAGTTGCTTGAAAGTACAGTTTTATATGTGAGAGACTTCAGCTTATTTACAGCATAAGTGGAATGAGCTGACAGATTGGAGATGAAAAATAATGAGAGGTTACATTTTCAGAACAGAGAAGTAAAAAATAGTAGTAAGAGGGAATGACCTTTTATGATATACATCATGTCCTAGAACAAAATATGTATGTTTTATTTTAATACCACACTAGATTCTGGATTATCAAAAATTTTATGTATCTTGAGATATTAACTCATATTTTTCCCAGTATCCTCAATTTCCCTTGGGACAAAGTACTTATAGTGTAAAAAGAATTACAAATGAGTGAAACCACACAGAATTCTTGTCTTCTAAGGTTAAACTGTACAGAATTAACAAAAACTTACAAAAAAGGCACAAAAGATGAAAAGGTAGGCGTATAAATATATTTAAGTTGCATTTAATAAAAAATTAAACATGCAAAAACCAAAAAAACTGCACATAAAGGATGGAGGAGAGTTATAGGATATCAATGTCAAAAAAGCATAATGCACTTTTTTGGAGTAATGAAAATGTTCTAAGACAGACTGCACTGATGGTGTACAACTCTATGAATATATTAAAATCCACTGATTTATACATTTCAAATGGGTGGGTTATATCTCAATTTTTTTTAAAAAAGCTTAACATAAGGCTACAATGGTACATGGTATAGAATCTAGAAAGAGGGAGGTATTACTTCTACTCTGTCTCAGAGTGGAGCAGAGTTTAATTCTGAGTGCCACATATTTGTGGGTGGGTGGGGTGTGTTGTGTGTGAGTTATGACAGATATCATCAGTTTTTGAGTACATATTAAAGCGTTTTTATACTGGAAATTATATTATTTAATTCTCACAAAACTCCATAAATTATGTATAATTTTCATTTCTCAGATGAGGAAACAGGAGCCAAGAAATATTAAGTAGCTCAACCCATGACATTCTTTTACCTCCTGTAAGAACTCTACTTGAAACTCATGGGTAGGAGATGAACTTGTTCCAAGTCCACTGTACACATGTATGAAATTATCACAATGAAATCTCCCCATATTATTAATGTATGATAAAAAATTTAAAAACTTTCAAAAAAGAAACTGATGGGTGTCTGTGTCCAAAGTTGTATCTACTGAGGGGTTATAAACAAGATGTATTACATTCACCAGACAGCAATTGCGATGATGAGGAGTTGAAAGCTTGTCACAGAAAAGCCAGATAGGACTAGCCTGTGGAAAGAGACTTGAGGATATGAAAGCTGTTTTAAAATTATATAAGTAGCTCATGAATTAAAAAATAAAACAAAAACACTTAGAAATCTCAAGGGCTTGCATTAGAACTACTGGGTCTTTAGTGTCTTTACTATTAAAGGGAGAAAAGACTTTTCTAAAAGCCAGGAATGCCTAGGTAGACCTTCTTGAGGATGGTGAGACTCTCCTGTTCTCCTGGCCCCAGTGCTGTAGGTATTCGCGAAAAGAGTTCATATGCCATTAGATGGGATGCTGACTTAGAGCTACCATATGAAATACGGGATACCCAGTTAAATTTAAATTTCAGATAACCAATGAGTTGTTTTTTTTAGTAAAATATGCACTAATATTGCATGAGGGCAAGGCAGTTGTAACAGTAAGGAACAGCAAACAAAACCACGACTCAAACATTGCAGTAAACACACTTACAGTACTGAAAAGTTATTTGCTGTTTATCTGGAGTCTTTACTGACTACATATGGCAACTCTGGTTGCTACAGAAATTATTTTGAAGATTCATTTTAAGCCTGAGGGAGCAAGTTCATAAACTGTGATCGACGAGATCGAGGACTACTAAAGGCAACGGAAATAGCTAACTAGGTGCAGAACTATTTTGAACACAAAATATATATAACTATATGGTCCTAGGAAGGAGCAAGAATGGTCATAGGACAGAGTAGGACGACAGAAGTTAGAATCGGAGATGTGTGAGAGAAAGAAAAAGAGGGCCAAAGATCCCAAAAAGTTTAGTTAGGTTTCCCAGTCCCCTCCTCCCACAGACGCGACCGCTTAACTCACATTTTTCACAAACCATCTTTCTGTTGACGGTCCTATGTGCCGGTAGAAGTAGCAGCTGCAGCTTGAAAACATCAACACTACACCCTGGGAAGAATTCCGCTTCCGCCTACGTCAACCCACTTCCGCCTACGACAACCCATTTCCGGCTTCTCAGCCTAGGGCTCCCGCCTATCCTACACCTGGAAAGCCGCGGGATGGCTAAACGCGAGCGAGTAGGCGGGGCTGCTTTCATTGGCCCGCCCTTACACTTCTGCGATTGGCTGTTCGGTCGTGTGTCTCCGCCCACCGGGCATGCGCCTGCGCGAGGACCATGGCAGCCGCCAGCGCCTGATAGTGGGAGGCAGTCGCCCCCCCCTTTCCCTTCCGCGGGCGGGAAAGTTAGGTAAGCCCAGCTGCACGCCCCTGGCACTCTCACCTCCCGCGGGTGCCCGCCGACCGTCGCAACCGCGGCCAGCCTTAACCCGGGCCGCCTGCTCTAGTGCCACCCTTCCGTTGTGATCCATTGACTCTTGATGGACCGACTCTCGGATGCGAGTTTCTGAATCAGTCCCTCTGCTTTCGCTTGTCCCCTTCACCTGTGCTCTTTGATTACGCGCCTCCTCTGTTTTCCCGCAGCCCACGCTGCCCAGCCTCCGGCAGAGGCTGGAGCAGAGTCCCGAGCGACCCACGGTAGGGTTGAGGGGCCGCTGATCCCTATGCCCGACCCGCATTCAGCAGAGAATCTAAGAAACTTCCTTTGTCCCTTCCTGATCCCTGGAGTTTATCTTCACGTTAAAGAGGCTAGGCTTTGAAATGGGTTTGGCTCGTAAATCTTTGGACGTGACTCCTAACTTGTTCATCCAGTTTTTGCCCGTGAAAAATGATTGTGTGAGTTAAATGAGGGCTAGTAGGACAATGCCCAGGTTCGCCCTTTTTCCTTTCACGCTAGTGCTCCCTACCCTCTTTGTGTGTGTGCGTGTGTACGTTTCTATTTTGGGAGATATTCAGAATGTAACATCAACTATTTAATGAACTCCTTAACATTATGTCCGCATATGTGTCCATGAGTGTCGAGAATGTTTGGTTATATTTCCAGCTGGTCAGATCATTTAATCTGTGCAGTTGATTTCATCTTCATGATTGTGGCAGAAGTAAAATAAATTGCTTAACTGGTCCTAAAACATGATCTTTTTGCAGAAACCAAGTCATAAATATTTAAGAAATTTGTAGGATTTGCCTTTTTTAAGCTCTGGGAGATTGTTGTACTATATCAGGAAAAATCTAAAATAGCATAGTGCTAAGCCTACATTGCATTTACATGTATGTATCTTTCTGTGTTTTGATAGAAAAATATGTTGCCCGTACAAAATTGACTTTAGTTCATGGCTTATTGTTAAGAGGTTGAAGTATTTAGGAAATGGGAAAAATCATTATTAAATCATTTTACATATTTTTCTTAATTTGTTTTTCATTAGATAGCCATCGAAAACACCATGAAAGATACTGATATCAAGAGACTTCTGTACACTCATCTTTTATGCGTATTTTCAGTTATCCTAAGCGTCTTCATTCCGTCATTCTTCTTGGAGAACTTCTCAATATTGGAAACACATTTGGTGTGGTTGTGCATCTGCTCTGTTTTTGTAACCACTGTCAATCTCCTGTTGTGCTTAGTAGTGAAACCAAATGTATCCTCTAGAAGAAGTTCATTATCATACAAGGTAAGTCTTCTTGATAACCAATTTTTGTATGGAGGTAGTGTTTCAGTACAAGAATAAAGTATTAGTCAAGTCCTTATTGAGTTATATACAGTATGCAAAGGAGCGTGATTTGTTTTTCAAATTAGTAGCTTGCTGCTTGCTCCCCACATGCTTGATAGATCATTGCTGTGCATTAATTATGGAATTATGACTTCTTCAGTGGGTCACAACATAGGCATTCTGAGCCTATAAATCATAGCATTGAAGATAAATACATGTGGCTGTCTCTCTTTAAATCACATTTTATAAAACATTGCACTTTATTTTTACACTTCTGAAAGACAATTTTTTTTTCAGAAATTGCAAAATAAGTCACTATGATAATTATTATTTTAAACAGTTTTCCTTGACTAAACAGTTTTCAGATATTGAGTTAATTTTCTAGAATAATCACTGTACTATAACACTTGACTCTTACTTTAATAAAATCCTCACTTGATACTTAATGCTAACATACACCTTTGCTGCCTTATGAGTTAAAAAGCTTAATAGGTATTTTTAAATTATATCTTCTGTTGCAAATCAAGCAGGCAGCACGTAGGAGCCTATTTATAGATGTTCTGGTTTTTTACATGGTTCACACAGTAATATGAGTATGATTATTTGGTATTTAGTGTTGTTATTATTTAGTGTTCTCTGGTACAATTTTCCCAGGAGTTTTAAAATGAAAAAAATTTACTGCAGCTGTTTCATGTATCATTCATAGTAGTCTTTTTTTTGTATCCTTGTACTCTTGTCATCAGTAAATATTTCATAAGTATTGATTAACATATGTAACTCAAAACATTTCATAGAAACCAATCCTTTTTGACTCTCATATTGGCTGGGTGGGTAAAATACGGGTATGTGTGATCTTTGCCTTTTTAAGCTTTTTTATAATCTATATTGAGGGCTGGTAGATGTGGCAGCACAAGATGTGTTCTAACTTGAGGACAAGCAACAAAGAACATTCAGCTGTTTCACATATTATGGGAACAAGTTGTATTTGTAGGTTAAATGGAAGACGCTTTATGCCGTCCTTTAGACATTCTATTGAGTCTTCATATTATTCATTCCTCTCTTAGGTAACCAGATTTTTGAAATGCTGTATCTTACTTTTTCATGTCTTGTGTCTCCTTCATGTGATTTTGTTCTAATATGGAGCACCACTAATAGAGTAAGTTTGAAATTTTACTTTAAATTTTTGTTCTATATGGAGCACCACTAATAGAGTAAGTTTGAAAATTTTACTTAAAATTTCTGTGTGAAACGTTTACTAAACAGTGTGCTAACTCTGTTGGCAATTAAAGAAAAATCATGGCTTATTCAATTAATGGATCAAGGAAAGACAACAACATCAGTGCCTGTTTTTAGCAGTGTTATTCTTTTTTAAAGCAGTGGTATAGTATACTTAATTGATTAAACGCTTCTGTACCTAGTGCTCCATTATCCAACTGTACATTGGGAGGAGAGAGGGCGATGAGAAACTAACTATGAATGTGTGGCCCTCAGAACCATAGTAAATGTGATTCTGAAGTACTTGAAAGAATTTGATTTCCTAAAGAAAGTCAATAGAGTCCTGTATTCAAATCATTAGTAAGCCAATGTTTATAGGCAAAATTTATCCAATTTCAAATTAGTGGAAACTAAATCAAACAATGTATCATAGTAGTCTTTTTTTTGTATCCTTGTACTCTTGTCATCAGTAAATATTTCATAAGTTATTGATTAAATATGTAACTCAAAAACATTTCATAGAAAACCAAATCCTTTTTGACTTCGCATATTGGCTGGTGGTAAAATACGGGTATGTGTGATCTTTGCTTTTAAGCTTTTTTATAATCTATATTGAGGGCTGGTAGATGTGGCAGCACAAGATGTGTTCTAACTTGAGGACAAGCAACAAAGAACATTCAGCTGTTTCACATATTATGGGAACAAGTTGTATTTGTAGGTTAAATGGAAGAGTTATGGTCCTTTAGACATTCTATTGAGTCTTCATATTATTCATTCCTCTCTTAGGTAACCAGATTTTTGAAATGCTGTATCTACTTTTTCATGTCTTGTGTCTCCCTTCATGTGATTTTTGTTCTATATGGAGCACCACTAATAGAGTAAGTTTGAAAATTTTACTTTAAATTTCTGTGTGAAACGTTTACTAAACAGTGTGCTAACTCTGTTGGCAATTAAAGAAAAATCATGGCTTATTCAATTAATGGATCAAGGAAAGACAACAACATCAGTGCCTGTTTTTAGCAG